TTATCTTTTCCATGGAATATTCCAGTTCATGCAAACTTGTCAAGATTAATGATAGTTTATATCTTTAGGAAATACATAGAGGAGATGGGAATGTGAGCCCAAAAGGCAGTCTCAAGGAAGCATACATATGTATTATATAAAAACAATACTTACATATATATGTTTTATAGAATATAAATTCATGTAAAATTGTGTTTAACAACTTTTATCTCTGTTTGCCATTATAATACATTTTGTTGTTTAATTTGGGTTATTCCTTCTGGTAATTTTCCTTACTACGTTAATTGGCACGTTTTGTACTGAACAGCTTGTCTCCCTGAAGAATACAGCCTTCAGTCAGTGAAACGGTGCTTTCCTACACGCTCTCAATAAACCCAAAGACGTACATCAAGCTTACATTAAATGATCTGTTTGTTCATTGTCACCAGTGTACTCAAGGCTGTATAAGACATAAAGACAATTCCTGTCCCGAGGGGCTTGGAGTAACTCAGTGGTCAGTGCTGTTCTTTTTGTCTCTTCTCCTGAATTTGGGAATTCTTAGTGGACTGTACTGGTCTGAATGCTGACTGTGAGGTGTCCTTTAGATCTGCAGAGGTTTTGGTTTTGTTTTAGCAGTTGCTGGCCTTGGGGGAGTCGGCAGTTTGAAATACCTGCACTCTATTAATATTGCTTTATCTTGTTCATCCGGTCTCATAGTTTAGATTCTTGAACTAAAAGGTATTTAGAGGGGAGAAAATACTAAGCTTTCTTAGTTCATATTGGTAGCATACTGCAATGTTATATGCACATTTACATCGCTTCTACAATGTAAGACATAGTAAGGGACCGTCTTGAACTAAGGGGTTAAATAAATTTGTATTTCATCGTGAAGTTCTTGCTGGCAAGAAAAAGTATAGGTCCCTTGGAGATGGACTACATGTCCTTTTGAGTCTTTTCTATCTAATTTTTAGGATTTCTATGAACCTCAATTCAATTTCTTGGCACTAGATACAGCAGTCTTTTGGCTAAGATCAAGAATAGAATCAATCTAATATTTGCTTTCATCCTCCATTGAGCCACTTCTCTTTATGGGGACAGGATAATGGAATCATTGATAGAGTACATGTTTTACTTCTTTCATTTCTCTGTATGCGTATTGTTTTGAATAATTGAAAATTTATGATTTACTAAATTTAACTTGTACTTTCTTATTGCTAGGCCAAGTACTAATGTTACAAGTCTCTCAAAATCATTATCAAATCATATGGAAATTTTGCCCACCTATTAATTAAACAGACACGGAGAGACTCTGAGCTAGATTGTATTGAAGAACGGTGAGCTTGAAGCAGCACCTCTCCCTAAATAACTCGGGACTCTGTACATCCCGCTGCTGATACACTGAAGCAGTTACCCTCTTGTATCTTACTTTAATTGGATATTGCCTGAGAAACAACAGAATTATCTTTTTGTTTTAATAACAAGTTTCTCTGACGACCTGGGATTTATGGCTTTTTTTTCTAGTATGTATTCATGCCCTGATTTTTTTTTTTCTGAAGATATATGATAGGTAAACCAGAAGAACCTTACCTAGGGGGAATACTGTCCCCTGGATAGAGTATCTGCAATGGATGTTATAAAGGAGCCAGAAGATGATTAATTACTATGTTAATGCACCTACATACAATAATGCATGACTCCTTATTAAGAGCCACGTAGCACTAACGTACCGTTGTTTTCACAAATTACCCATTTGTTACTAAGCGGGTCAAATGCAAATATTCTGTGCAGGATCTCCGTACGTGCCAGTGTTTCCTTGATCCTTGTCCCCCAGGGCAAGAATATAAGCAGTTTGTTGTCAGGAGAGCTGGCAGCCAGGGGAGCTATATGTCCATCTGATGTTGTTGCAACAAGCGAGGCTCCACTAGGGATTTCCATCTGCTTTTCGTCCTCAATTTGCCTACGTATAATTATTGTGCTTGGTGATGCTTAACTAAAGGTGAATGGAAATGTGTTTGCAACTGAACATTTTCTGAGCTTCTCCATCAATAGGAGGATGTGGTGGCAATAGGCTTGGAGTTTGCAAAAACTTTGCTTTCTAAAAGAAGGCTTCTGAAAATTAATTCCTTTTCTTGAATTCATAAACTTCATCTGCTGCTGAAAGGCAAGGACCTCTGCAAATGAATAACAAAATCAGACTGAATCACCTTGGTTATTAAAACTTAGAGGGCTCAGTGAAATATTTTGGAGGCTTCTCGCAGCTGCTGTTTCTGTTCGAGTTGCAGGTGGCCTGCATCATCAAACACCTGTAACCTGTGGGTTATAGCTGTGACCTTTCTTCCCCTTCCGATACAGACTCATATGATGCAGATGAGCCTGCTCCCTCCCCAGAAGATGTGATATCATGAGGAAGAAGAAAGTATGTCTAGGAAGACAGCAGTATAGCCCATTGTGCAGGGAGCAGCTTGGAATTGCTATATTCATGATTCACTGCATGGCCAGTAAAATGAAAATCGGAGGACTTGATGAAAATTGAGGAGAGGAACCAGCTCTTCACCCAGCCCTTGCCAGGGCTGAGTGTAAGGGGTTATCTTTAGTAGGCAAGAGCTTGCCCAGGCACCATGAGCTGAACAGCTGTAATCAAAGATGGAAAGAAGAGGAGGAAAGTGTTCTCTCTGGATGCTCATGTGCTGGGTGATACCAGCCTTGGCAAAACCACCTCAGAAACCTGAACTCTGGTTGCTTCTCAGGTAAGTAGAAGAAGAGCACTTATTGTGTAACACTGTGTAAATCCAGATTTTCAAATGTGGTCTGTTTAAATTATTCTGGAACAGACAGTTTCAGGGAACCTTTGCATCTAATGCAGCTACACCAGTGGAGAAGGAGGAACTCTATAGCAGGAGCTGCTCTTCTCCTCTGACCTTGAGTGTCTGTGACCATGACCAATCATAGAAAATCTACTGTGGTTACCTGTAATAGGAAAGGACTAGATCAGAGTTTTAAAATCACTACTTTTGTGTTCCACACAGAAGTCCTACATTTGAAGGAAACTTAAAAGCTGACTTAAATACACATGCATATAAATGTAAACATGAAAGATCCACACGAAATAAGAAGGAATGGCTTAATAGCACTGTTGAATCTTCTTTTGTTGGTGTCTTTTTTTATATCTAACCTTTGTGACACCGACTATCTCAAAATTTAAATTGAAAAGTAAGAAGTTTAGGAGCTCATTATTGGAAATGTGGGCTGAGCTTCAATCAGTGCTCAGCTTCAGTCACCCTGCTCAGTGCAGGTTTTGTGTAAGAAAGAATACAGGTCTTTAATATTGAGTAAGATAAATGGAATTAGCTCCTTCGAAGGGCTTTGAGCCTCCATGTCTTTTACATTGAAAATGTTCACGGATGTCAGCGGGCATTTTCAGTACCACAGGAATGCAGGGTTAAGTCCAAAATCTACCTGTTACTGACTAGGTAACATCAGAATGAATGTACACAATGTTATATTGCATCCGAATCTACATTTAATTCCCTGGTTTTTACACCTTACTGCATGCAGTGCTCGCAGCCCTGAATAATGTTCTTATTTGGTTAGATTTATATACACAGTAAAAGGGGAAGTAACTGCAGCTCTACTGCTGTCAGCTACAGAGCATGGCACAAATTGTAGGTATTCACAGTGTGGGCTCTACATGGAGCTAAGCAATTCTTTGAAATACTATGAATAATTCCACAAAACACTGCAGGATCCAGCTCTCTGAACCTCATTCAGATTTCTGACTCCTTTTGGTAGCGCAATTGGTGTTCACGTGTCAGTGAGGGTCAGGGTGTTTGTGCAGGAAGAGGAGTTACGTACATGTTGAATCTCACGCGATAAATCAGAATCTTAGTGGGTAACGGGCAGGTTCTCATCTCTTGTGACCCAGCTAAGACACAGGTATTGCACTCAGTGGTTTGCACATTTTAAGAAACTGATGATAACAACCTTCAGAAAGTGGCAAACTGCTCAGAAACAGTAGCAGACCTTGAAACAGCTGCAGAAATCCCAGGATGTCCTTGCTTTATGTGGGGCACAGCAAAGAAATTGTTTTGTCATACCGGCTCCCTCAGCACATCAATAAACTTAGCAAAGTAAGTTAGCTGCTTCTTTGTTCTCATTATTGTTCACCCACCAAATGCTTGCATTTTATTTGATCTTGCAGGTAAGTGCAATTATTCTGAATTGTTGCTGTGAGTCTGCATGCAACACAAAGCTGACAAAGAAAATGTTTCAGCATAGCTTAGTTTATTAGCCTTCCAACTTCAAAAAAAAAAAAAAAAAGGACAAAGAGGAGAAACAAGAAATACTGATGTATATAGTAATGAAAATGCAGTTCAGTCTCTAAGTCTTCTTCCACTTACTATAGTTTGTAAATTATTCCTAAATTGAACATAAAATATGAACATTTAAGTCCAATTCCTTAGCTGGAGTAACGCTGTATGCCTCCATCAGTCCCAACAGATGTGCTGATTTACACCTGCTGTCATCTGAGATACAGCCATTGGTGCATTGGAGCGAACGTAAATTTAGGTATTTAGTTTGAACTTTGTTTTCAAGAAGCTGAAAGCACTGAGATGTTGTTAGGGTAACTGCAGGGATAACGGCATGACGCTATCCTTATAATTGTTATTTAAACAAAGCTTACAATAGTTACTGGCACTATTTGGATTAGGAAAATGGTAAGATCTAGATTAAAACAGGCATGGAAACATTGCTTGATGGTGTGTGATGTTCCTAAGATGTTGCCTCATAAGGTCTCTCCGCACAGGCCTTGAGGCGACGGGCGGATGGTGGGGAAGGCAGACACAGGCATTGCCCTGAGGCGGCACAGCCTCGGGGCGCAGGAGAGCCTCAGCCCTCCTCTGCCGCCCTCTCGCCCACCTACTCTCCTCACAGACTCCCTGGCACTGGTTTTAAGTGCGCTCCTGTGGCCTCCTTACCACTGCCACTCGGGATGTTCGTTGTGTGAACCGTGCGCTTCACCGATGCCGGTGGGACAGTGGCTGACTGGGCGCGCTGCAAAGAACCGAGAAGATCCGGTGGAGCCGTTCGGCTGGCGGATCCCCCCTCACGCAGGCTCCTTCCTGCGCGGGGTGTGCCACTGGGCACGCAAGGGCCCGTAACCTGCACCCCGGGCAGGGGCTGTGGTGGCGGCCTGCCCCGAGCCCCACGGGCGACGCTGGGCTACTCTCAAGGCATCCTCCATGGCAGCCCACCGTGCCCCTGCTCCCCAGCCACCGCCGCTGTGCGGGTGCTGCACAGGGGCAGCCTGC